CCACGGCCACCTCGGCCCCTGTCACCCTCGTGGCCCCGGGGGAAGCGCGGCCCGCGTGGGTCCAGGGGCCCAACCAGACCACGAATACGGACCTGGCTGCGACCCCCGGGATCGCCGGCAGCACGGTGGTGATGCCGACTCTGGAGGCCTCGCCCGCGGCCGCCTCGGCGCCGGTCCCCCCTGGCCCAGAGCCCTCGGTGCCGGCAGCCGTGGCAGGAGCTGGGACGTCGATGACTGGAGCTCCAGGGCCGGACTCTCCGAAAACTGAGGAGACCCGGACCTCGCCGGCCCTTGGACCAAGTACTCCCACCAGGACCCCCACCAGAACTGCTTCTGGGGCCCTGGCCGCCAAACCCCCGCTTGCTCCCAAGCCGGGAACCACAGTGGCCCCAGGAGCGACCTCCCGAGCTGCAGTGACAGCAGGACAGGTGACAAGTGGACACGGAGCTGCAGCAACATCAGCATCAGCAGGACCGGCCCCCGAGGACACCTCAGGGCCCCCAGGGACATGTGAGGCTCAAGTAGCCGTGGTGACGGTGACCCCAGCTCCCGAGCCTGCTGAGGGCTCCCAGGACTTGGGCTCCACGTCCAGCCTGGGGCCTGGCATTCCTGGGCCTCGAGGGCAGGCTCCGGACACGCTCAGCTACTTGGACTCGGTGAGCCTCATGTCTGGGACCTTGGAGTCCTTGGTGGATGATGTGAGCTCCATGGGTTCAGACTCGGAGATCAACGGGCTGGCCCTGCGCAAGACCGACAAGTATGGCTTCCTTGGGGGCAGCCAGTACTCAGGCAGCCTGTGAGTACCCAGTGGGCACCCATATAGGACCCCTCAGGGCAGCAGAGGGTGGGGGGAGACCCAGACACCAATACCTCTTGCCCTGACTGTCAGCGCCGGCTTCCTGTGACAACTCGGGGTGCTTGGTGGTGGCTCTGATGCACAGAGCATCCCGAGGTCTCCCTGGCACTGGCATGTCAGCTTCAGACTAGGATTTAGGAGTCTTGGCTTTGCATCTCGGCCTGAGCGTTGGAGTGTTTTATGCCCTTGAGCTTGTGGCTTTCCTGTTTTCAGTGCCTCAGTTTCTTCCTCTGAGAAGTGTTGGATGAGGTGACCCCAAAGGTCATCCTGGCTCCTTGGTGTTAAATAGACCTCTTATTCTGGAGGGGTGGCTGGTCAGAGGTTCTGGTGGAGACTTTTGGCCCCTTAGGGGTGGAGAGTCTGGAAGCGATGCCTGAGGCCCGAGATCTGCTGGGTGGGTGAGGTAGGAGAGAGTTGTTGTTGGAGGGCAGTATTCCCCCTCAGGGAAGGGCAATACTGTGTCTTCACTGAAGGAAGGAGGGTGGGGGAGGCCTCTTCCCCATTTCCTCATCTCCCCAGAAGGCCTTACTCTTTCCTAGTTCCCTCCAGGGCCCTGAGTCACTCCTGAGGTGGGGGTGTGATCGCTTCTGTCTTCTCTCTTCCCTCTTTCTGGATTCTGCCCTCAGTTCCCATGCCCTTTTAACCTGCAGGTCAGTTCAACCTGCAGCATCTTCTGAGCACCCGAGTGCCAGGCATGGTGGTAGGTTCTTTCCAGGAGTAGCTCGTTGTCTAGAGGAAGAGACTGATGCTTAAGCAGTTGGTATAATATCCAATACGTCCAGGCCAGAAATGAGCACAGGGTTTTGTGAGATTTTAAAGAAGGGAACTCATTCAGCTGAAATTCATCTGAGACCTGAAAAATAAGTGGGATTTGGTCATGGCCGTGTGTGTTGGGGCCGGAGGATCTGGTGTGGAGGGGAGTCCTCTGCAAGGGTATTCTGGGTTGTGCTTAGAACTCAACCCTCTCCTTCAAAAAGTAAGACAAAATCTTTGAACAGAAGCAGTCCCCTTTTCCATATAGGGAAAATAACTAAGTTTGACCTTGACACATTCCATGTATGAGGGAGATATTGTACCCCATGTATAGGTGAAGAAATAGGTTTAGATTGATTGAATGTATTGCCTCACTCAGTCTGTATTTGAGCCGAGCTCTGTAAGCCTAATGCCTCTCTCCTCAGTACCTCTCTGCTGAAAGGAACTTGTATGGAATTCCATTTTAGCAATCTTCTCCTGGATGCCAGGTGCCAGTTCTCCGTTTTGTATTTTTGTTCCTCCAAAACCCATCTGGATGCCAGGTGCTAGTTCTCCGTTTTGTATTTTTGTCCCTCTAAAACCCATCTGCCATGCTGGAGAGAACCACCTATGAGGCAAGGCTGCTGACGGCATCAGACCAACCAACCCCACTGCCATTGGGTTGGTTCCAGCTCCCAGCCAGTCTCTACTGAGTTTCTGAAGTTGTAAATCTTTATGGGAGGAGATTGCTCATCTTTCTCTTGAGGAGCAGCCAGTGGATTTGAACCATCCACCTTTTCGTTGGCAGCCCTAGGTGTTATGCCCGCACCACGAGGGCTCCTTGACAATGACACACTCCACTTTAAAAGCTTTTAGAGGCTTCTTCCTGCCCACAGGATGAAGTTCAGCCTCTTGAGACTATACACAGGCTCTTCATTAGCATGTCCACTGGCCTCTCTGACCTTCCCCTCACCACTCCTCACCATACACTTTATCCTGTGGTTGTGCTGAACTGCTTGTAGTTTCTCCTCCTCCACACTCGGCCTGTTATGCCTGACAGGAAAGCCCTTGTTTGCCTGCTACCTTCTGTTCATCCTTCCTCGCTTACCTCAAACATCCTCTCTTGCAGGAAGCCTTCTCTTGTATCCACTACTCCCACTCCAGTTAGTTGCCCCTTCTGTGCGTCTTTTAATTTATTGCACTCCCCACACCACATTGCATTTACCTCCCCTGCTAGGCCTGTGACCTTTTTGAGGACAGTAAAAGTGTTTTCTTCTCCCCTGCCCTTCTGGTAGCATTTAGAGCTGACTTATGATATAGATGAATGAGATAGGGTCTCTGTTTACGTAGCTCCAGTCCAAAAGAGATATAATGGGCCTCTTCTATTTATTTAACAGTTCTTAGATGTATTTTCTCAATTATAAACAACAATAAAACCACTGCTGAATCCATTCCAATTCATAGTGACCCTCCAGCAGGTTTCTATGACTATATATCTTTACAGGAGATTACCCATCTTTCTCCAATGGAGTAGCTGATGTATTTGAACTGCTGACCTTTTTGTTTAATACATTTAAAAAATTTTTTTTTATTTTATTGTTTTTTGTGCATGTACCTCAAATCAGATCTGACTGGTACAGGAGGAAACTGTCCCTCCTTCTCCGGCAGAGCATTTGGTGGATTCGAACCGTGTATCTTTGGGATTGCAGTACAGCTTCTTGCCACTAGGCCACCAGAGCTCCCCTTGTTTAATACATTTTTTCGTTTCATACATTACACTACCACCAGGTCTCCTTAGTTTCTGAATCATCCTCTTGTAAGATTGTGATGTAAGTGGTGATATCTGTTTTACAGATGAGGGAGAGGTTCCGGTTATTAGTTGGCAAGATTCTTTGTATGTAACAGTACTGGGGTTTGAACCTGGATCTGTCTGACTTAACAAAGCCTAAGACCTTTCTTCCAGTCTATTCACCAGTTGGTACCGGTCCTCACAAGTAGTGATTTAACACTGATGGGGAACCTGGAGTGTGAAGCACTGACAGAACATTGGAGAAATAGGGCTAGGAGTTCTTTTTATCTGGGAATGTGGGGTGATTTCAGGGACCAGGAGAAAGAGGGAAATGCAGATAGGTAAGGGAACTCGAGTAGGAGTGAGTTGGAGAGGATTTGGTGGCATCTAACAAGAACAACAGAATTAATTTCTGTTTGTTAAGAAACCAAGCAAAAATGATAAGTGCATAGTTAGTTCTATGCAGTTAAAACAAACCTATTGCCTTTGATTCAATGCCAACTAACAGTGACCCCTTCATTGTTTCCAAGGCTATAAATCTTTGCAAGGGAAGACTTTTCATCTTCCTCCTGCAGACTAGCTTGTGGATCCAAACTGTCGACATTTAGGTCAAGAGCACATCATTTAACGTAATATGTCACCTAAGATCCTTTCTAAGGAGGCAGAGAAATAGATTTGTTCTGTATTTAACTGTATGGATAATAATGGCTGTTACTGAGCCCCCTGCTCCGTGTTAACTTCTCTAGTCTCTTGACAAACCCCTTCCAGTAGGTACTGCTGTTCTTTCCATCTTTTAGATGAAGAAACAGACTCAGAAAAATTAAATGACTTTTCAAGGTCACACTGAATAAATGCTCAAGCTAGGACTTGGATGAAGGTATAAGAGAAAGTCTGGCTTTAAATTATTCTGTATTGGCTCCATAAACATGGGTATATCAAGGGTGGGATTTGAACACAAAATTCTGTATAGATATCCAGTAGGGAAGAAATCCCTTTCCACTTGGCCTTAGGAGGGCCACATAGTCTGGTGTTTGATCGCTTATAAAGCGCTTTCATGTCCAGTCTCACCTATAAGTCTGGGAGGTGGCTGCCTCAGTTCTCCCAGTAATCTGGAACCTGTACTAACAGTGGCCTCCCCCACCTCATCCTGCAGAGAGAGCTCCATTCCTGTGGACGTGGCTCGGCAGCGGGAGCTCAAGTGGCTGGAGATGTTCAGCAACTGGGATAAGTGGCTGTCACGGCGTTTCCAAAAGGTTTGTAGAGGCTGAATGCTGGGCAGGGAATGGACAAGTTTGGGGTTGGGGTGGGCACTCAAGGCCTCTGTGCTCCCGGGAAGCCCAAGAACTTAGCAATTTCTCTCTCTCTAGATCATGTCAGGGTGGGTGGTACCTAGGCCTAGGGGAAGTAGTAGCTTTAAAAATAGACAGCCAGGCTAATTTCGTCGGAGTCGAGCCTGTGGGATGTGGGAGAACCATCCAGGAAGCCTGAGGTTCCCTAAGGAAACTTTAGAGGCTGTCAATCCCAGAGGCTATTATTCCTTTGCTTGCCCCTCTGCTTTAGGTGAAGCTGCGCTGCAGGAAGGGAATCCCATCCTCCCTCAGAGCTAAGGCCTGGCAGTACCTGTCCAATAGCAAGGAGCTCCTGGAGCAGAACCCTGGCAAGTTTGAGGTATGTTGAGCATATGGACCTGTCTGTGTTAGGGTTATCCCTTCCAGCAGATCCTGAGATAATCCCTACTGTTCCACTGTAGGAGCTGGAACGGGCTCCTGGGGACCCCAAGTGGCTGGATGTGATTGAAAAGGACCTACACCGCCAGTTCCCTTTCCACGAGATGTTTGCTGCTCGAGGGGGGCATGGGTAAGGTGACCTTACCATGTGGACCAGTCAGCAAACACTTGTTGAAGACTCCAGGTGGATATAGGACTGGGCTGATACCAGTGCTTGGTTGACCTCCATGGCTTCTAGAGGAATGATCCTTAGTGGATTGAGTATCAAGCCATAATGAAAGGACGTGCCCTATGAGCTGTGAGGGACCGTGCCCAGGAGGGAAGACTTTTAACTTTGTGTCTATGTGTCTGTCTCAAAGGCTTATGAAAGAGCTTGCATTTGGGCTAGGTTTTGAAGCTTAGATGGACCTAGAACAGGGGGGTAGGATTTTCCTGGCTGCAGAGTTATGTAAGCTGTATCCGGGCAGTGGGGTGGGGGAGGGTGGAGATTGTAAAAGAAATTTGGAGCCAGATCACTAAGGGCCTGTAGATGTTTTGCTGAGGCATTTTGGTTTGGTTTTATAGACCAAGCATCTTTAAGAAATCTTTTAAGATACAGTATATATCTCCCCATACACCTGCACTGTAGTAAGGATGATGATCTTAGGTGGATACTTATCAGTAAGTTTGTCTTTGAACTAATATGTATTGGATATCTACTCAATGTCAGGCATTGTTTTAGTTACAAATGATAGTAAATGAAAAAATAAAAACATGTACTTTGAGGGAAAAGATGAAGAAATAATAATTCTGCTCTTTTGGAGTGTATTATACATTAGTGGAGATAGATAATAGGATAAAGAAGGAAAGTATGCTGAATGTGATTATGTGAAATGATTGTGTACCATTGAGTCAGAACATACCCATAGCTAACCCTCTAGCGGTTTTTCAGAGGCAGTTAATTGCACAGAAGGAGATTGCCCATTCTTCTCCCACGGAGCAGCTGTTGGCCTCAAACTGTGTGGATGTGAAATGGTAGTAGGTTGTTGTTATGTGCCATCGAGTCATTTGCGACTCATAGTGACCCTATGTACAACAGCCCTAAACTCTGCTCTGTCCTGTGCCAGTAGCACTGTCTCTGATACACCCATCCCAATTACCCCAGTCACTGAATCAATCCACCTCATAGAGGGCCTTCCCCTCCTGTGCCGTCCCTCCATCCTCCCAAGCATGATGTCCCTCTCCAAGGACGGGTCCCTCCTTACAACATGTCCAAAGTATGTTAGATGAAGCCTCAGAATCTTTGCCTCCAAGGAGCTGCCTGGTTTAACCCTCCAGCATGAATCTGTTTGTTTCCCTAGCAGTAGTGGGTATTAAGTAGAGATTTAGAACAAGAAAAGGAGAGTGAAGTATGTAAGTGGGGATGATGTTCCAGTTTTACATAGATGTAGGACAGGCTTCATTTCGAAGATGACACTGTGTGGAGAGCTGGGCAAAGTAGTTACAGAAGTGAGCTGTGTACATACTAGGAGAAGAGTACTGGGCTGCAGAACCACAGCCAAAGCTCTGAGTGGGGAGTATGGTATGTGATGGGAGGAGTAGAGTAGTAGGAAATGAGGTCAGAGAGAGGTATTGGGGGGTTTCTGCTCAGGCCTCTGTTTTACTCTAGAAGATAGAAAGTCTTTGCAGGTCTTTTAGGTAAAGACTTGATCTGACTTAAGTTTCAAAAGGATCATTCTAAAAAAAGGATCATTCTGACTACCATGTTGAGAATAGACTATAGGTAGAGGTCAGCTAGAAGACTGTTTCCATAACCCAGGAGAGAGATGATAGATTGGACCAATATAGTAGCAATGGAAGTATGGGGGGAAATGGTTGGAATCTAGATCTATTTTGAAGGTAGATGGATTTTTTTTTTTAGTGGATTAGGGGCATGTGTGTGTCTATGAGTAAATGACAGAAGTTAATGAGCTCTAATGGTTTAGTGGTGAGGAGTTGCACTGCCAACCCAAAGGCATGTGGTTCAAATCCACCAGCTGCTCCACGGGAGGAGGATGGGCAGTTTCCTCCCTTGTGATTTACTGCCTCTGAAAATCCATCCGCTGGAGGGTCAGCTCTGAGTCAGTTCCGACTTGACGGGACATAACGACAATTAAAGTTTAGACCTGAGAAACTACAGTGGGGTTGCTGTTTACTGATAATGTTGTTCTGTTCTGTCAAGTAGGAACTGATCTCAAGCTGACCCTTTAGTGGTTTTATAGAGGTGGTTAATTCTCACTGGTAGGATGGGGGAAACTAGAAGGGAGGTGTGTCAGGAGTGGCATTTTGGAATAAAGTTTGAAATGCCTAGGGAGGATAGAAGGAGAATTGATGCCTTTGAGCTGTGGTGCTGGAGAAGAGTATTGAGAATACCATGGACTGCCAAGAAAACAAACAGATTCATCCTGGAGAGGGTTAAACCAGGCTGCTCCTTGGAGGCAAGGATTCTGGGGCTTTGCCTGACATACTTTGGACATGTTGTAAGGAGGGACAGGTCCTTGGAGAGGGACATCATGCTTAGTAGGGTGGAGGGACAGCGCAGGAGGGGAAGGCCCTCTATGAGGTGGATTGATTCAGTGACTGGGGTAATCGGGATGGGTGTGTCAGAGGCAGTGCAATTGGCACAGGATAGAGCAGAGTTTAGGGCTGTTGTACATAGGGTCACTATGAGTCGCAAACGACTCGACGGCACATAACAACAACAACATTGGACATCTAGATGGAGATTCGGTATCTGATACATAGTAAACACAAGTTTGGGTTTTGAGGAACCGGTTTAACTTATAGGAAATTGGGAATTGTCAGCCTTTAAACTAGACTAAATAACCAAGGCAGGAACTGTGGATAAAAAAGGAAGATGTCTAGGGATTGAAGCCTGCAGCACTCTTAACATGTACAGAGCAGGAAGAGAAAGCATCAGTAAAGGAGACTGGAGGGAGAAGCTGTGAGGCTGGAGGAAAACCAGGAGAGTGTGATTCCTGGAGCAAAGGGAAGAGGGTTTCAAGGATGGGCTTTGGGAATTGCTACTGATGGGTCAAGTAAAATAAAGCCTGAAAATTAGTCAATCTGGAGATTATTGGTGACCTTGATAAATACAGTTTTGTGTGTCGTTAGTGAAGACCTGACTGGAGGCTGGGAGGAAAGGAATTGAAAAATAGCAAATGTACCTTGGAAAGGTGTTTTGCTGTATAAGTAAGGATGTTACCTCATTTGTTATGTTATCTGGGTTCCAGTATGTTACCTGGGTTCAAGAGATGGTTTGTCTTTTTTTAATGCTAGGAGAAATGACACTGTATTGGTATGCTGGTGGGCATGATCTAGTAGAGAATGCAAGACAGGACAGGAGAGGATTGCTGGAGTGATGATGGCTTTGTGGAGGCGAGAAAGAATGGCAAAGGCTGTCCTTAGCGGGGATCACAGACAGTTCATCCATGGCAACAGGGGAGCAGGCAGGGACACAGAAGCAGGTAGGCGGGTGGAAGTAGTATGGGAGCTAGTGGGAGTTACATATTTTTAAAATATGTATTAGATAAAATAGCTATTATGTATCAAACCTGTCATCTTGAGGAGGCTAGTACAAAGTGGAGAAAAAATAGAGTAAAGTGGTATGCAGATAAGGCACAAGTGAAGATTCTGGAGTAGGTGTGAGACTAGCGACTGGGAGAGGCTCGAGGAGGTGATAGCTTTTGTCTGGGCATGTGAGGCAGGGATGAGCTGAGAAGCCTTGGAGGCGGAGAGGAGGAATAGACAGGAGTGAAAACTGGGGTGTAGATGTGCTTGGACCTGGTGATGCGCTATGAGGAGAACGGCACTCCATTTTTTCATACGGAAGATGAGTGGTCGAAGTCCCAGATACAGTGATGAGGCACACAAAAAGGGAGCAGGTCTGGGGCGGAGGTTTACTTTATGAGCAGAGAGATGGAGGAAGGCCTGACAAGTAGCTGGCTTTCATGTCTACCGAAAGGCAAGGCTCTTTAGACTCTCGAGGGCACTGAAGGCAGCCAGGCATGCCTGCCCTGGGAGAGTGCCTGCCTGCTCTGGGGTGACAGGCATCAGACAGTGCTAGAGGGAGGTAGGCTGAGGCTGCACATGTGGAGATGACCTTGAAGGTTGGTGGGAGCGTGGCTGAGGCTGAGACCTGGAGGGGAGAGCACAGCCTATACTAGAGAATGAGTAGGGGTGGTGGGTCCTACAGCCCAGGGTGGGAGGGCTGTAGCTTGGAATGCGGTAGTTGTGGTCTTAACCTTGATAGCTTGATAGGTAGGTCTAGGAAGGTCATTGGAGAATGTTGTGAGATTCCAAGTTTAAAATGCAGCTTGGTGTAAGGTTTGGTGGGGAGCAGATTTGGTTTAGGGAAGAGAGTTTCCAATGCCTATTTTACCTCCTTCCATCTTCCTCACCCCTCCAGGCAACAGGACCTGTACCGCATCCTGAAGGCCTACACCATCTACCGGCCTGATGAGGGCTACTGCCAGGCCCAGGCCCCTGTGGCTGCAGTACTGCTCATGCACATGCCCGCTGAGGTCTGCATGTACTGGGCCTGGAGAGGAGGGGCTGGTCTGCAGGGGTGATGGGGAGCCCCTGTTGCCTGTTTCTCAGGCTCCATCCCTACCTCCTTACCCTTGTCTTTCCCAGCAAGCCTTTTGGTGCCTGGTACAGATCTGCGACAAATATCTCCCTGGCTACTACAGTGCAGGGCTGGTGAGTGAAGCCTGGGTATTTCTGGACCTGTGACATTTCCCCCAAGGCTGCAGCAAGGCCCTTATCCTGTGCCCTTAAGTCCCCCTCATCTCTCGGCCCCTCTTCACTGGGATGAGGATCCCTTATGAGAGTTTAATCTATCTGAGCCAGGCCCTCTTCTCATGACGTGTGTGTCCCACAGGAGGCCATTCAGCTCGATGGAGAGATCTTTTTCGCGCTGTTGCGCCGGGCTTCCCCCTTGGCACACCGGCACCTGCGACGGCAGCGCATCGATCCCGTGCTCTACATGACAGAATGGTTCATGTGCATCTTTGCCCGCACCCTGCCCTGGGCTTCAGTGCTCCGAGTCTGGGACATGTTCTTCTGTGAAGGTACTTCTGTGGCCATCCAGGCCATGGTGGGCTGGGGATTCCATGGTAACTGTCACATTCTGGGTAGCCCAAGGTTAGAAGGTACTTTTTGGGCCTCTGCTGGAGCCTAGGGAAACTGAAGCATCATTTTGACTGCCACTGACTCAGGGCTGCCCTTTCTCCCAGGAACAAGAAACCCATGGGAACTCGCTCTCCGTTTTGGGCCTCTATTACGCTGACAATAGGAGGGCCAGTTAAATGGTACAGACTGAGATGCAGGGCCTGATCTCCTCATATTCTCTCCTCTCTGACCCTCCAGGCGTCAAGATCATCTTCCGGGTGGCCCTGGTGCTGCTGCGGCACACACTGGGCTCGCTGGAGAAACTGCGCTCCTGCCAGGGCATGTATGAGACCATGGAGCAGCTGCGCAACCTGCCCCAGCAGTGCATGCAGGAGGACTTCCTGGTGCATGAGGTAGGCTCTGAACTCAGCACGCCTCAGTCCCGCCTCTGCCCTTCCATGCACCTCTTCATTCACTTACCTGTGTCCTCCTTCCAGGTAACCAACCTCCCAGTGACAGAGGCACTGATTGAGCGGGAAAATGCATCACAGCTCAAGAAGTGGAGGGAAACACGAGGGGAGCTTCAGTATCGGCCCTCACGGCGGCTCCATGGCTCCCGGGCCATCCATGAGGAACGCCGGCGGCAGCAACCACCCCTGGGCCCCTCATCCAGCCTCCTCAGCCTCCCTGGCCTTAAGAGCCGAGGCTCCCGGGCAGCTGGTGGGGCCCCCTCCCCACCCGCCCCTGCCCGAAGAGCCAGTGCCGGGCCAGCCCCAGGGCCTGTGGTCACCGCTGAGGGACTGCATCCATCTCTCCCCTCACCTACTGGCAACAGCACCCCACTGGGATCCAGCAAGGAAGCCCAGAGGCAGGAGAAGGAACGGCAGAAACAGGAGAAGGAGCGGGAGAAGCAGGAGAAGGAGCGGCTGAAGTGGGAGAAGGAGCAGGAGAAGGAGCGGCAGAAACAGGAGAAGGAGCAGGAGAAGGAGCGGCAGAAGCAGGAGAAGGAGCGGCAGAAGCAGGAGAAGGAGCGGCAGAAGCAGGAGAAGAAGGTCCAAGGCCGGAAGCTTTCCCTGCGTCGAAAGACAGATGGACCCCCACCCCCCCAAGATGGTGGGGACAGGCCCTCAACATCTGAGGCCCGACAGGATGCTTACTTCTGACCTCTGCCCTCGGGCTGGACTGCGTGACACCCCTTCCCCATAGCCAAGAGCAGGCCTGGTTTGGGCTTCCACCCCCAGCCGTCTTGGGGGGCTGTCCCTCTCAAAGGAAAGTGGCTCGATACCTGGTTTCCTTGTCAGTTGCTGATCCCTGCACAGCCAAGACAGTCGGTGCATGCAACAGCTGCATTTCCTTGAGGCAGCTGGGAACAAAGTTGGAGCCCCACCTCCAGCTAAGCCCAGCAGGATGTCAGCTTCCTCTGGAGTACTCCCCCAGTCTGTTTGGTTGACCTCTTGTCATCTTGGTGATGGAGTGAGCAGTTTTACGATTCTTACACTCCAGTGGCTTCCCGCACCCATGAAGCCTTTCCCCTCCTCAGTCCTGCCTGGCATCCTCACCACCTGACGGGGGCCGAGCTCGCCTCACTGTATTTCTGGACATCTCTGTTGTAATTATGTACAGAGGACCTGGCTGGCCTGGAGTGGGGATGCTCGCTCTCTTCTGTTCTTTGGTTCTCCTTCCACAATGCTCTGGTTCCTTGTTTATTTAAGGGGACATGCACTGGAACAGGAAATGTTCCCCATTTCCCCACCCACTACCCTCTTGCTCTCCCTCCTTACCCATCTTCCTCTGTTCTCTGGCCTCCTTTTGTCTCACCAGGGCTCCCACTTTCCACCTCGTTTCTTTCAGCCTTCCAGCTCCTATCAGAAGGGTCTTCCCCTGAGGTCCAGGGGTGGCACTCTACGTTTACATTCTCTTCTGTCCTCTCCCTGTGTGTGTGTCTCTTTAAGGAACCGGAAAAGAACCTGCTGTTGTACCTGGGCCAGTCTCTTGCCTTGTTCTTTGATAAGGGGGCTGGGTTAATGGCTAGAACGGGAGGGAAGAGACAAGACCTGGGTCTCTACTTCCACTGAAGCAGTCTCTGCTGGTCTTGGCAGGTACCTCTTGGCCTTATGACCATCTTTGTCACCCATCAGCAAACACTAGGTGAGCTCCTCTCCCAGCTTTGCCTGAGTTCTGCTGCCTTTATTGTCACTGGGCTCCTGGAGCCCTCTAAGCTGCACCTGCAGCACCAGAATCTCCTTTCCAGAGCATTGGAACAGCTCCTGGATGCCTGAGTGGGATTATTTGAGGGTGGCCAGGAAGCCACAGTCTGAGAGTAAGCTGTTTCCTGGCCAGTCACCTGGCTGTACTGGGGCTTCCAAGCTGGATAGACAAACAGCTTCCTGCAGGTCACCCTCGCCGACACCATTGCCAGGTTTAGCTCTTCCTCTTTCTGAAGGGAGCTTATAAGTTCAACCAGCCTCCTTGCTATCCATTCCTTGGCTTCAACCTGGCAGTTCTCCAACAGTATGAAGCATAAGAGTATGCAGTCGTCCTGGTACTCCAGGTAGAAGTTGCCAAAAGTGAACCAGCAGCACTCAATGGTAGCTGATGTTTTAGATCCTCTTTAGCAAGAAGCATCACAATTTGGGGCCTGTGCTGTCACCCACAGAAGAAACCACACACTGACCTTTGGTGCAGTTTAATGGTCAGCAGGAGATAGCTAAGCCAGTTGATGGCCCTGGGGACCCCATTGTTGGCATCATTTCTGAGGCATGATCTCACTGCTAGAGTCAGACCTCTCAGATGACCCTCCAGCAGAGTTTTAGAGGCTGTAGATCTCATGGGAGGAGACTGCTCATTTTTCTCCCTTAGAGCTGCTAGTCTAGTGGAATTCAAACTCCTGAGTGTCCCTTAAGGCAGGGACTTCTTCCTAACAGCACTGGAACCCAATGTACTGCCCAGCCTCAATCCCTTAGGCCAACTGTCCAGCACCTGGGTAGGAGGCTCCCGGCTGGTCCTTGTTTGCTAAGGAAGAACATTAGCTGTGTTCCAACCTGAGGACTCTTGTCATCTCTTCCTTTGCAAATGACTTCCCCAGGGTCCTAAAGGAAGGAGGTTAGGCAGAGACCTAGAGCAGCCAGGGGCTACTAGACTGGCTGTGGTGTTAAAGGTTTATTGTGCAAAATACCTTTCCTAGCCATTGATTAACTTTTGTAATGAATTATCCTTATTGTATTAATGAGGCAGGATACAAGCCCCACCCTACTGTTAGGTGCTTTTGAGTTCATTACAACTCAACAATGGCTATGAACCTTGCTCTATCCTAAGCCTGCTTTACCATCTCTGACACACTTGACCACGTTGCCATAGTCACTGAGTCAATCCATCTCATGCAGGATCTTCCTCTCTGACCATCTACCCTTCCAAGTATATAGACTTCTCCAAGGACTGATCCCTCCTGACAAGATGTCCAAAGTACGTGAGATGGAGTTTCAAAATCCTTGCCACTAAGGAGCAACCTGGCTTCACCCTCTCCGGGACACAGCTCTTTGTTCTCATGGCAGTCCGTGGTACGTCCCGTACTGTTCTCCAGCACCACAACAACTCAAAGCCACTGATTGTTCTGTCACCCTTAAACACAATGTCCAGCACTCACGTACACAGCAAGCAATCGTGAAGACCATGGACTTCAGGTGCACCTTAGTATCTAGACTGACACTGCTACTCTTTAGCACTCTGAAGAGTTCCTTGATAACAGACTTACCTAAAGTAACTTGTCTTGATTTCCTGACTGCTGGTGTCAAGGGTGTTGATTGTGGATCTGAGCAGTATTAAATTCTTCAATCTCTTTTCTAGCATGATAGGTCCAAATGGCCCAGTGGTGAGAATCTTGTTTTCTAGATACTGAGCTGCAATCCAAATTGAAGACCAGTCCTCGACCTTCAGCAAGCGCTTCAAATTCTCAGTTTCAGTGAGCAAGGCTGTGGCATCTGTATAATTTATTGTATTAAGGTGATACGATTAGGGTGAGATACAAGCTGGATCCTACTAGAGGCATATTATAGACATCACGGGAGTTCAGTGCTAGCTCACTTGTGACAAAGCATCCAGCTGCAACTGGCCTCTCACTCACCAGCAGTTTCTACACTCACCTGCATCATTGAGCCGCCTGAGTCATTTCCCTGATGAGTTTGAGTCTCTGTAAGACTTTCCAGCAAATGACCGAACTCTAGGGACACAGGGATGGGGCAACTGAACAGAGGAGGAACAGTTGATCATTCCATGAAATTGTGGAGTGCTATAGCCGACCAAACATTTGGGACACTGTTGACTTCTTTATAACTAGTATGCTACTGATAATAGTAGAATGAATTATTTTTTAAATTATTTTTATTTTTTATTATTTTTGTGTGAGTATATTCGTGTGTGTGTGTGTGTGTGTGTGTGTGTGTGTGTGTACCGTCAAATCAGATCTGACTTGTACAGGAGGAGATTGTCCCTCCTTTCCCAGCAGAACATCTGGTGGATTCGAATCATGAGCCTCTGGGATTGTAGTTGCAGCTCCTTGCCACCAGGCCACCAGAGCTCCCCTAGAATGAATTATTAATACACTGGCCATCAAAATAACCAGACAAACTTCCTTGGAGAAAGAGAGGCAAGGATGTGCCTCTGTAAAGGGATAGAGCAGGGATGATCTCTCCGGAGCTGGTGAAGGGCGCAGAGCCCTTATGTAGAACCAGACGAAGGGTTTTCCTTAAGAGGAAAATGAGTAGGAACCCCTTGATCTACTCAGACGTTGCCGCTCCATGGTGACTCCCAGGACCCCTTTTACCGCTCTGCTTTCTCCCCAAAGCCTGCACTACCTTCAGAATCTTGCACTGCAATCCCAGAGATAAGTGGTTCGAATCCACCAGATGCTCTGCCGGAAAAGGAGGGGCAATCTCCTCCTGTACCAGTCGGATCTGATTTGACGGTACACGCACAAAAAATTAAAAAAAAAAAAAAATCAAACGCACTTCCGGCCGCCCCTCAAGTTCACTCAGGGTTTCCGGATTCATAAATTTAACTCCCTGTATGCCATTTCGTTCCATGAGGCTTACGTCACTATTCGAGGTCATTCTTCGTTCATTACGTACTTCCGCCCACTCTTCCAATAATTCCATCTGACTGACGTCACTTCCGACTTTCACTGGCGCCTCGGCCATTCTCTTCCGGGTTATGGCGGTCTAGTGACCCGGATGTAGCCCTGGCGCAAGCATCTCTCTTTTTCTCACCCCACGTACCCTGGAGCCCCAGGTGAGCGCCCGCAGGTGGGACTTCCGAGCCTTGCCGGCTTCTGCTGCCCCTCGGATCAGACACAAAGCCCCGGACAGTTGTCGGTCGCCCCGGGGTGTTGACAGTGCGGGCGTGGGCGGGGCGGCCCGTTCTCTAGATGGAGGGTCGGCCTGGGCCTCCGCAGGCCCGGAGGACCAAGGTGTCAGCCCAGAGCCCCGCCGCGCCGAGGACTGCAGGGTCCAGGGGACGGGGAAGCCATGTGGGAGAGCCCGTTTCTTTTTGTTAAGAGTGCCAGTACCTGCAGGGAGATAACCTGGGTGCCCGCCCCTCTGCGGGTGCCAGCCCCCTCTCGAATCCAAGGGAATTGCTAGGCTGGTCTCTCTCCCCCTCGGCCTTTTACTCTGCACCCCTCTCCCTTCCTAATTGGACGTACCGTACCTGGAGAAATGTTTGCCGGCGCACAGCGGGAGGGGGTTGCTCGCGATGCGTCCCCGCCCTCCTGGCCCACTTCATTCACTCTGCACCCTCTCCATCAGCACATCGTGGGGAAGCCTCCTCCGTCCCATCATGCCAAAGAGAAAGGTGACCTTCCAGGGCGTGGGAGATGAGGATGATGAGGATGAAGTCAGTGTTCCAAAGAAGAAGGTGAGGGGGCCAGACCTCTGTGTTCTGGGTTGAAAGAAGGGAAAAGAGAGGAGCTAGAAAGTTGAGCGATCATAGAGAGGATTGACTTTTCCCACACTTCATAAGGAATGGATCTGAAGGATCTTCACTTTGGTTCAGATGCAGGGGTGTTGTTGGGAATATCCAGTAACCTGCATCTCTTGCCTTTCCAACTCCTGCTGTTAGCTGGTGGATCATATAGCTGGGGCAGGAGGTCCTGGGAGCCGCTTCAAGGGTAAACACTCTTTGGACAGCGATGAAGAGGATGATGATGAAGAAGGGTCCAGCAAATATGACATCCTGGCTTCAGAGGATGTGGAGGGTGAGTTATCACCAAAATTATAGCCAGAGGGTTAAGGAGGGCCTTCTAGAGCTGTGGGGCAAGGGAACATGTGCCTTTTTCTCCCACTGTCCCCTTTCTGCATCCTTAGCATGGAGTATCTGTGTCTTTGGTACAGGTCAGGAAGCAGCCACTCTCCCCAGTGAGGGTGGAGTGCGGATCACACCCTTCAACCTGCAGGAAGAGATGGAGGAAGGCCACTTTGATGCTGATGGCAATTACTTCTTGAACCGGGATGCTCAAATCCGAGATAGCTGGCTGGACAACATTGATTGGGTATAGCCCACAGGCTGGCATGGCTGGGATCTAGAGGCTGAGAGCATAGGCCTTGGCCCCTGCTGGCATTTTGTACAGAATAATTCTGTCTTCATGTTTATAGGTAAAGATTAGGGAGCGACCACCTGATCAGCACCAGACCTCAGACTCAGAGGAGGATGACAGCGTGGGCCAGACACCAATGAGTGCCCAAGCCCTCCTGGAGGGCCTTCTGGAGCTGCTGTTGCCAAGGGAGACAGTTGCTGGAGCGTTGAGGCGTCTGGGGGCCCGAGGGGGAGCCAAAGGGGACAGAAAAGGGCTCGGGCGGCCCAGCTCCCCCCAGCGCCTAGACCGACTTTCAGGGTTGGCTGACCAGATGGTTGCTCGGGGCAACCTTGGTGTATACCAGGAGACTCGGGAACGGTTGGCCATGCGGCTAAAGGGGCTAGGGGGCCGGACACAAGGCTCACATGACTCTGCACCCCCACCCTCTTTGGACATGTTTGCTGACGAAGTGGCCGTGGAGGAGCTGGAGAATTTGACCCCAGCCCCAAAAGGAGGTATGTTTAGAGAAAAGAAGTGGGATGTTGTGGACAGGGGCCAGGGCAGCTGATTCCAGATGACTTTATTATTTTAGAAGCCGAGTCACCTGATGATGGCCTAGTGGATGTGATGTGGGAATATAAGTGGGAGAACACAGGGGATGCTGAGCTCTATGGGCCCTTTACCAGTGCCCAGATGCAGGTAAGCCCTTTTTAGTTTCATTCTACCTTGTACCTCCCTCCCTCCCTCTATAAGCCCTCTCCCAGCTCAGCCTTCTTCTCTCCCTGCAGACCTGGGTGAATGAAGGCTACTTCCCGGATGGTGTTTATTGCCGGAAGCTGGACCCCCCTGGTGGTCAGTTCTATAACTCCAAACGCATTGACTTTGATCTCTATACCTGAACCCGTTGAAGGGCCAGTTTGGTGGTGCCTTCTTTCTGTCCCGGACTCTCTGAAGGAGGCCCCAGCTGTCTCAGGCAATGAGGACTTTGGAGGGCACTTCGCAGTTAACTGACCTTTCCCAATAAAAGCCTTTACTTGTGTACTGGGGCCTTGGCTGGGCTGGGGGCTTGCTCCACACCCCTTTGCACTCCCTTCAGTTGTTGAGTCTTTTCCTGCCATCAAGTTGCTCCTTGGGAGTCTCTCTTTGCTCACCTTTGTTTGCTGTTCTCAGAGACGAGAGCCAGGGCCTATCCAGTGTCTGTGGCCTTTCCATTTGTATTCGGTTTGTTCCTTGAAAGTCTTTCACTTCATTTTTTATTCGCCAATCCTCTCTGGGGCTTCCGTTTTGCTACTCTTAGCTTTTAGGACCTCAGATTCCCAGTTCTTTTAGCCAGAAGGAAATATAAGGAAGGGGGAAGACAGCTGGAAAATTTGGGGACCCTTTTTTAGGTTTAGCCTTTTTGCCACTGATTCCCCACTTTATGCAGCTCTTTGGAGGTCAAACAGAAATGGTTATATGATCTAAGATATCCAAGACCTAAGGTTCTGAGAGCCAGTATCTTTCCCCAGCATATCCTTTGCAGAAGGGAGCTCTGGTGATCTAGTGGTAAGGAATTGTACTGTCAACCCAAAGGCAGACGGTTAGAATACTGTCAACCCAAAGGCAGACGGTTAGAATCCACCATCTGCTCCACGGAAGGAAGATAAGTAGTCTCCTCTCGTGATTTACAGCCTCTGAAATCCCGCTGGAGGGTCAGTTCTTCGTTGATTTTTGACTCATAGCACATAAGAGTGACAGCAGTTCCTGTGACTCCTCATGGCCCTAAGGTGAGGTGCAGCCTTAGTGTTGACCCTTCAAGGCCACCTGTACAGGCACAAGAACAGTGACTCACTAGAGGTTACAAGTCAGAGGCCTGGTCATACAGCAAATCAGTGGCTGCCCCTCCCGGATCTATTCTTGGCACTTGACCTTTTCTGCCTGGTATGTAAGACCCTGCATTTCCTGGATTCTCAAAATAAGCCTGGCACGGGGATAGTGTCTTTAGGGAACGTTTGTGACTCAGCAGCTCCCAATCTGTGGAAGAAGGTCTCAGAAGCTCCCAATCTGTGGAAGAAGGTGGCCCCATTTTCTCCCATTAGTTGACTGCTGGGTTCAGACTGTCAACTTGTCAATCTTTTGACTAGCTTGAATGCTTTAACCACTGTACCACCTGGAATCACCTTGGAAGCTTTAAATAATGCTACTTAGAGATTCTGAACGAGTTGGTTTGCATTGTGGCTTGGGTGTCTAAAAGCTCCCCAGGTCTTTCTAGAATGCAACCCTGTTAGATCCTGGGCCAGACTTTGACTGAGGTTATCTTTGGGGAGAGGGACCTGTTCTTGGGCCCTGCTGTGGAGATAAGGCCCCTCATAGTGGAAGGAGCCAGGCTGCATCAAGTTGGGACTGACTCAGAGCTGACCCTCCAGAGGATTTTTTTTTAAATTTTATTTTATTAATTTTAATGAACATTTACAGAGATTTTGGATTTCCATTTATTCATTGTTGCACTTGATATCTTTGCTTTTTTTAAATTTTATTTTAATTTGTGTGTGTGTGTGTGTGTGTGTGTGTGTGTGTACGGTCAAATCAGATCTGACAGGTACAGGAGAAGATTGTTCCTCTTTCTCCAGCAGAGCATCTGGTGGATTTGAACCGCCAACTCTGGGATTGTAGTACACCTTCTTGCCACTAGGCCACCAGAGCTCGTCTGGATTTTTAGGTACAGTTAATTGCTTGGGGGAGATTATTTATCTTTCTCCCATGGAACAGCTGGTGGATTTTAGCTGTGTTCCTTTGGTTGTCAGTGCAGTTCATTACCACTGAGCCATCAGAATTCCCCAGGACTAGAAAAGAGCGGCTGGAGTGAGGCAGAATACTTTGTGCTCTTGTGTGTCCTCTAATCTTAAAATAATTAGGCTTCTTTAGTGCCACCTGGCCCTAAATGTCACTGATTCAGAAGATGCTATCAGTGTTAAGGTGTATACTACATTATAGATGGATCCCTTAGGAAATTGTAGGAATTACAGTTGTAAAATGCCATTGATGAAAAAATGTGTCCAAAAGTAAAAAGAAGCATCTTAGAAATTGAAAATCTTAGACCAACCAAATAGTGTTTACGTCTGTACTCAGCAGCTCTCACATGGAAGGTGCTTAGGGGTCAGTGAATGCATGAGAGCCAGGGAAGGGGTTTGCCTGAATGAATGAATGTCCTCGGACTCATCCAAAGGTGGCCTGCTCTCACAGCCTTCTGTGCTCACCTCAGTGATGGTACTTAGTGGTGGACAGAAGAGCACCCCATCCCCCATCTCTAGGTCTTAGGCTTTAGACCCTGTGAATATGTTACCTTAAGAGGCAAAAGGGACTTTACAGATGTGATTAAGGAAGATTACCCTGAATTGCCAGATGGACTTACAGTTATCATAAGAGAACTTAGAAGTAAAAGAGTTGAGAGTCGGAGTGGAAATTGAAAGTGAAGGAAAGAAGCACAAGCTGAGAACTTAGAGTGACCTGTCGACGGTGGGAAAGGAAAAGCAACACAGCAGACACCCATTCTCCACAGGAAGTGCTGTCCCACCGTGCTCGAGAACTACATGATCAACTTCAAGCTGCCATTTAGTGATGATTTAAACTACCACATTTTGGGTTTTTTAAATATAAACTTTTTATTTTATACTGGTTTACTTACAAATTCCATATACATTGTTTTGTATACCAGATCCTTCCCATTTCCTTAACACCCTCTGCCCTCCACCCATCAAATTGTGCAACCCTATGATTATGCCCCTCATCCATCTTCACCCCTATTCTCCCCTCTCCCCCATTAGATCATCATACACATTTTACTAGTTATCTGTTTCTATAATAATGATCTTACACGATATTTGTTCTTAGTTCATTTAGCATAATGCTCTCAGGTCCCTCCCAAGTTAGGTAGTGATTTACAAAATCATTGCTCCTGTGTGCTGTGTAGTATTTCATCGTATAATTTCTCAGTCCATTTGATTGTAAAGCTACCACGTTTTTGACAGTTTTTCTGAGCAGCAATGCAAAAGTAATACCCTATTCTGTTCAATGCCTAAGTCCTCCCTCCTCATGGCTGTGTCTTGCTTCTAGCCCCTGTCAACACTTCTCTATTAAAAGAGATGTATTTGTCACAACTAAAACAACATCTTTGTTTTCCAGTAGGTTTATACCTTCCACCTAATTTGAAGAGTACAAATCAATGATTATTGGCATATTCACAGAATTTTATAGACAATATTAAAGAGGCTAGTTTCAGGACATTTTTGCATTGCCAAAAAATTCTGTACCCATGAACAGTCACCCATTAACCCTCCTCTCCCAATCCCTAGCCACTGGCAACCATTAACATGTTTTCTGGCTCTAGATTTGCCAACTGGGAGGTATATAGCAATAGAGGCATAGATTATGTGGACTTCTGTGTCTGGTTTTCTTTATTAAGGAGCCCTCATGGCACGTTACATGTTGCAAACCAAAAGGTCCAGCAGCCGTTCCGTGGGAGAAAGATGAGACACTTTCCTCCCTTAAAGCCTGCAGCCTTGGCCTGATGGAGGGTTGGTGTGAGTCAGTGTCAAATTGACTGCAGGCGGTTCTTTGACGTCTCACTGTATCTTCAAGGTTTATCCATGTAGCATGTGTCAGGCCTCCCTCCCTTTTTATTGTTATGTGCCATCGAATCCCTTGTGACTCATAGCAACCTTATGTACAACAGCCCTAAACCCTGTTCTGTCCTGTGCCAACCTTATTGCTTCTGACACACCCCCATTACCCCAGTTACTGAATCAATCATCTCATGGAAGATCTTCCTCTCTTCCCCTGTCCCTCCACCCTTCCAAGCATGACATCACTGTCTAAGGACTGGACCTGCCTTGCAACATGTCCAAAATATGTCAGACAAAGCTTCAGAATCCTTGCCTCCAAGGCAAAGCCTATTTTCACCCTCTCTAGGCCAATTGGCAGCATCAGGATAGATGGTGAAGAGATTGAGATTGTACACAGCTTTAGTTTGCTTGGCTCCACTGTCAACAGTCTTGGCACCAGCAGCCAGGAAATTAAAAGGCGCATTGCCATGGGAAAGTCTGCTGTTAGGGACCTCTCCAAAGTACTGAAGAACAATGGTGTCTCTCTGGAGACTAAGGTGCATCTGATACAGGCCATGGTCTTCACAATCACCTGTTATGCATCAGAGAGTTGGACAATGACCAAGGAGGATAGAAGGAGAATTGATGCCTTTGAGCTGTGGTGCTGGAAAAGAGTATTGAGAATACCATGGACTGCTAGGAAAACAAACAGATTTGTCCTGGAAAGGGTTAAACTGTGTGGCCAACACTGTCCACCTGGGTGCCCATTACCACGATTGGCACATCACTGTCACAACCTTCAGCATCACAGCAACCACAAGTTACCTCTACAGCAAACAGACCAGTGCTATACCACCTAGAAGAATGTTTATTTTTTATTACTGAATAATATTCCATTGTTTACCTAGAAGATGTTACTATTAACTAAGTCCTTTATTTGGATTTCACAAGTTTTCCCCCTAATGTCTTTTTATCACATATTTATGGTCATTTTCTTCCCTCAGCCTTCTTTGTACAGTGATAGTTTATCAAACTTTCCTTGTTTGGGATGACCTTGACAGTTTTCAGGGGTTCTGGTCAGATACTCTGTATATTCTGTATAGTTGACATTTCATCATTAGGTTTGGGTTATGGATTTATGAGAGAGAGATCATATACTTTCCTCATTTAGCTTGTGGGAAAAATCATGTTGACAACTTTCCTTCACCCTTCTCCACCCACACAGCAGCTACCATCCTGTTCCCAGAACAGGCAGATGGTATCATCCTCCAGGCCAGGCCAGGGATGCCTTTCTCTGTTTTCAGGAAAGATCAGTTAAT